CAGGTCACGTTAACTACTTCCGCCCAGAAACTTTTCTTCAAATCTGCATTCAATCTCATACTACGAGCTCTTTTCAAAAGAGTCATGTTCATCCTCTCAGCCACACCATTTTACTGAGGAGTTTCTGGTGTGGTAAAGTGACGTACAATCCTTTCTTCTTTACATAATTCTTGAAATTCTCTAGACTTGTATTCCCTTTCATTATCTGATCTCAAGTATTTCAGTTTCTTTTCGATCTTCCTTTCTACCTCTGTTTTCCATTGTTTAAACCTCGTGATGCTTCACTTTTGTGTTTCATGAAGTAGACCCATACCTTTCTTGAGTAATCGTCAATGAAGGTAATGAAGTATCCTGCCCCACCCTTGGATTTGATTGGTGAAGGCCCCTATACGTCAATGTGTATATAATCTAGTATATCCTTGCTCGTATGAATTGCAGTTTTGAATCAAATATTATACTGTTTATCGAAAACACAGTACTTACAGAAATCCAGTTTACAGGCTCTGCACCCTTCAACAATTTTCTTTTATAAAGTTCCATCATACCTCGTTCACTCATATGCCCTTAAAGTATATGCCACAGATTTGTGTCATCTGTGTTGGACTCAACATCTTTGGTTACAGAAGCTCTACTTATAACTGTATTCCCTATCAACCTACATAGGTTCCCAGTCATCTGGCCTTTGATGACAACCATAGATCCCTTACTAACTTTGAGGACTCCACCTGTTGTTGTATACTTGCAACCATTCAAATCAAGAGCCCCCAGAGATATTAAGTTTTTTTTTAATTGTGGGACATGCCTCACATTTGATAAGATTCGTACTATCTCATGAAACATCTTGATTTTGATAGTTCCTATTCCAATGGTTTCGCATACCGCATCGATCCCCATTAGAACAAACCCACCACTATATGATTTGTAGGTTTCGAACCAGTTTCTATTTGGACACATATGAAAAGAACAACCATAATCTAAAATCCAAGAATCAGGTGATCGTATGATCTTGGAAGTGAAGCCAACAAAAGTATGGCCTTATCTTCATCCTCGATTTCTACTTCAAGGCTTGCTAACTGATCTATGATCTGGTTGAACTCGCTGAGATGTTCAAGCAGATCTATGCCTTCTTCCATCTGAAGATAATACAATTGCTTCTTCAATAACAACTTGTTCGTTAGAGATTTCATCATGTAGACACTCTCGAGTTTTATCCAAACCTCCGGAGCAGTTTGGAGATCCACCACATAACGCAGGGCGTCATCTAAGAGATTCAGATGAATCGCACTTACTACTTTTTCCTCCATCTCTTGCCACTCTTCATCGTCTATCTTAACTGGTTTCTTTGATTTCCCTAGCAAAGACTTAGCCAAACCTTGCTGTATCAAAAGATCCTTCATTTTTCGTCGCCAAAAGGTGAAATTGTTCTTTCCATTGAACCTCTCAATGTCATACTTGACGCTTGAGCCTTTTCCTGTCATCGTGGTAGCAAACCCCAGAATGAGGAATAATCTTGTAGGGGCTCTGATACCAGTTTGTAGCAATGAAAAACAATCCACGAAAAACAAGAAAGCAGAAACAAATACAAAAGAAAGAGACAATCAACCACAACGCAAAGATATATGTGGTTCGGCAACGTGCTTACGTCCAAGGGAGATTAGAGCTTCTTTATTGGCAACAAAGAATAGGGTTACAATTCGTTCTCTTCCTCACGCATTTCTGTTTGTTTTTTTTTTTTTAATTACAAAGAGATATGCGTTTTCTCTTTAACCCGTAACTTTTGGATGAACCCCCAATCGCAATGATATATATCGAGTCCCAGATATATGGCACAAATTATCGAAATACCCTTGTACTGATATATATATATCAAGTCCCAGATATATCGAATCCCATGTACAGATATATCTGAACCTTGACAGATATATTTCCTTAGAATACAAGACATCAATCCTCAACACTCTACTGTTATTGTTGTTAGTGTGCATTTGAACAAGCGAGATGGCAATTTTGATCTTCTATTTGGTGGTATCTCCAAGAGAATTTTGTTCATATGTTAAGCTAAACAGAACTACACTCAAGAAAAAATAGTTCATTATCATTTTAGTTATATGGACAATGAAGGGGTTATATATGCTCCCTCATGAGCACATTGTATACTTAATCCTTTAGACATGGGAGTTTTATGTTGATTTAAAAAAAAATTGGCAACCAATTTAGAACCACCTAATGAGATGTAAATAAAGAAAAAGAAAAATCAATCTTTCTTAATTCTTTTACTTGAGAGTTTAAGTATGGAGTATGTTCATGTAGTATCATACTATACAGAGCACACTAATCATTATCATTTATCTTCAAACCATAAAAATATTTTACTATATCTTGGTGATCTATTTGATATATTTGATATATCTTGGTGAAATATTTGATCTTTTTTATGTGAATCATTTTACTTGGGGAAAGGCTATGATGATGATGAAGATGACGATGATGATGTGAATCATTTTGCCAACTTAAATGAATGTATCTTGGTGAGTCTATGTTTGGTTCATGTGATAAAATTTTCACACGGTGATAATCTCGACTTTTACAATCATAAATCTCAAAAACATAAAAAATAAGAGAAGGAAATATAAATCATTTAGTGATATTATTTTAAATTGATAAAAAATAAAATAATAAAGAAATTGTAACTCCTTAATATATCACTAAAAAGGATATTGTTTTTAAATTTATATATTAATCAGGTAACTCAAAAGCAATGTAAAAGATTATTGAATTACCTGCATTTAGTATTTGAAATACTTAATATAAACTGATATTTTTTTCATGTGGCACAAGCAAGAGTTTATAATCATCATAATTTTTTTCCAATTATTTGGAGTCCACCATTTTGCTCTATCAAGAGTCAACTGATAGATACGCCGTAAGTCATTCTATATATATTATATTCTTTTTTAATCATATTTTTTAATGCCCACGCTTTACTTTTTTTTAACTTTCTACTTAAACTAACACGCACCTCCCAATAGGTATTGTACTTCATATGAGCTATGGCACTAGCAAAACATTTTCCTAAATAAGTAAATAACCAACAAATGGGGTTTCTATGAGTCAGGTGACTCATACCATACATATAGGGCTCCCACTTAAACCTATCTTAAAATGGATTTTTAAATCAAAATTTTAGGGATTTATGATTCAGGTTAAGATAACCATGAATATGAAAAAAAATAAAATAAAAATTAAATATTTATAGAACAATTATTTCATGCACACTGGATTGCATTTTGTACAATATGTGGTCCAGAGGTATAAAGCATCCATTTTAAAGATGGATGCAAATACGTGGTCCACCAAAAAACAATTGTAGCTAACGGTCCAAATATTTTTTTTTATATATTAGTATTTCTAGTTTTAAAATTTATTTAATTTTCATATTCATGATTTCCATGTTAAATTTTAAAGATTGTATACAATGAAACCATGTACCTTTTGTACAAAAAGGTCACAATTACTTACAACCATCTTATGTAAAATTTGATAGCGTGGGTGTGTTACAAAGTTTGAAAAAATTTCTTTTGAACTTTGAGCTTGGACAGTGAAATGAATGTATCTACATCCAATGGTGAAGATCAATTGTGGCCACCTTGTACTAAAGATAAATGGTCTCATTATATACTTTCCCTAAATATATTATATGGGTGCGGTTTGTATAGAGCCTAGGCTCTAAACAATCAAATTAGAGCCTACCTTCAAATAGTATAGAGAAATGTGGTTTTAATATTGGAAATCTTTGGGGTAGCCTTAAAATATCTTTTTATATTTATTTATAAAGTTTAAAGCTTCAAAAATAGTATAGATCGACAGATCTATGAAAACTTGAAAATCTTGAAAATTGACATTCCAAAACTGTTACAAATACACTATTTCCAAAACTTAAAATCTATTTTTTTCTCATGTCCATACTTCTTAGTGTCGAGATGATCAATTTGAAGATATTTGAACATCAAAACAACCTCTTCCAGTGAAATTTTTGAGATAGGCTCAAATTTGATTATTTGAACATCAAAACAACCTCGGCTCTATATAAACTTTTCCCATTATATATTATCTAAAATTAGGATCAAATTATATTTAAAACATATATTTATTGCCAAGCCCACATTTGTACATGTGCGTGCTTGGGCGCATGCTAATTGCGTCCATATTTAAAAAGGATGCAAGTAGGTATTCCATCTAAAAACTTTTCCTTTTTAAATATGGGCGCACATAGAGATGGATGCAAGTAGGTGTTCCATCTAAAAACAATAGAAACTAATGGTCCAAATGTTTTCTTACTAGAATTATTATTTTTAGTTTTTAAAATTTATTTATATTCATGATCTCAATGTTAGAGATTACATGTCTTTAAAAATTAAGTCTTAAAATCCATCTCAAAAACAGATTTATTAAGATGCCCGCATTTCTACATTGGCTATTTATGGAAAAGTTTATATAGAGCCGAGTCTCTAAACAATCACATTAGAGCCTACCTAAAACATTTAATTAGAAGAGGCTATTTTGATGCCCAAATATCTTCAAATTGATCATTTTGACATCAAGATGCATGGACATGAGAAAAAAAAAAGGATTTCAACTTTTAGAAATAGTATATTTTGTAATGCATTTTTGGACCGTCAATTTTCAAGATTTTTCAAGTTTTCATAGATCTATTGGTCCACACTATTTTTGAAATTTTAAGCTTTGTAAATAAAGATGAAAATGTAATTTAAGGCTATCACAAAAATTTACTGTATTAAAACTATATTTGTCGACACTATTTCAAGGTAGGCTCTAATTTGATTGTTCAGGCCTAGGCTCTATACAAACTGACACCCTTTAAAATATAACTTTTTTTTAAAAAAAAATCTACACCGCCTAAATTCTTTTTAGCCCATGGGTCTTATTACAACGTCCATGTTAGAGATGGACGTTGGTGAGCCAGCGGGCTCTTGCACCCGCTGACTCATGAATAACTTTTCCATAAGCCATCTCTGTCTCTTCCCCTTTGCCTCTCTTTACCTGCAAAACCGACCGCTCTCTACCGGAGCCCGCACACTCTCTCTCTGCCCTACCCACTATCCAAGTCCCCTCTTTCTACCAGCTGAAACCCTCTGCAACCCCAAGCTCCCCCACCCAGTCCCGGACTCGCTTAAGCCATTAAAGACATATCTGGTACGTCCCATGGTTCTACTTTGGATTTCATTGTTCTTTGTTCATTTCTCTTTTTTTGTTTTTTTTTTTCGTTTTCATTATCTCTCTCATTTATATCTAAAATTAGGCTCCTCCCCCCCCCTCCATGCAAATCATTTGCAAAAGTAAAGTAGGATGAACCTGTGGCACTGACATCCTTTTTTGTATTAGTTTTTCTCTTTGTAGTTTCCCACTAATTAAAATACCCCAAATGCCCTAATATCTATTTTAAACTTGTTTTGTTCGCCCAATCTTTTTATATTTTGGGGCAAATAGGTTAACAGATTCTCACTGGTGAAGCATTCGTGGTGCGATTTTAGTTTAATTTAAGTTTCTGGTTTGGAATCTTTCCATGGAAGAAGAAGTTAAGAAGGCAGATGTTGAAAGAGAAGATACCTTCAAGAGCTTGGGCGTCTGTGATCAATTGGTTGATGCCTGTGTTAATTTGGGTTGGAAAACCCCAACTAAGATTCAAATTGAGTCCATTCCTCATGCCTTACAAGGTTTTTCCACCTTACTCTTATTCTTCATTGATATACCTAATGCCAGTATTGTTTAATAAACTGTATCATCACTGCGCTTTGTCATTGATTTTGTTTTTTTTTTGAGTTATCGACAGTAATATATGTACAAACGGAATCAAAATCAAATTCATTAAGATAAAAACAAGTTATATGCATGTATATGTCCTCAACAAAAATGATTTATGTATAAAAAATTTTGTCCATGTAATGACTTGAGATAGAACACTCTTAATATGTATGTCTAAGAAGTTGAGCCTCAAAAGTGGTTATAAGTAGCAAGGCTTTGGAGTTTCCATCTCATATGAGGGAGTCTGCAAGATCATTTGACTTCCCTTAAATGTGGTAAAATTCAATCCTTCTCATGATGCCAGGATAATAAAACAAAAATCCTTCAAACACATTTTGGAGCTTCCAAGGGCAAGGTTCCCTACCCCTTGTCCATGTAATTATTGTAATAGAATGCTATTCAGTGATTAAGTTCTTCAGTTGGGATATGGTTATGAAATGCTGAAGCCTTCAGGAATTGGCACCCAATTTGCAGATCTTCATTCTCACGATAGCTTGCCAGTTGCAATCTCCTGCCATGTAGTTTTGAAGTCGTACATAGATTACACCCGAAACTGTTTTCTAGATTTGGCCCAACAAGCCACAGTAACTTTGATATCTTATTTCGCTTGTTCAACCTTTGTGTGCTTATTTTTGAAGCATCTGTTACTGCACTCTAACCAGGTCAGCAAAGGCTGAATAGATATACAGTTCGGATCAACATGCCACTCCTGATAAGAGACCTATGGTGATTACAGAATGATCACCCGAGTGAGCATTTGAGTCTTTATGGGTGCAGGGGCAAGCTAGACTTTGGGAGCAATAGAGTTTGGGTCGACACTCTAGGTCAGGACTTGGTACATAGACACTGCTGGAAATATACATTTTTTTGTGGTACCTAAATCATCTTGTCTTCCTCTTTAGGTGTTTCGTATTGTTCATAAAGTGCGGTAGGCAATCCCAATAGCGATTCGAGTCCATCTTCCATCAGGGAACATCTGAGGCTGAATTAATCGCTTGAATAGTGAGTCTTACCACAGAAGAAAGGAAAGGGAAAAATATTATTGGAATAGTCAAAGTGGGTTTAATGATTTTACCAAAAAAGAATTGGATCTGATGAGTCTATTTTCCTCGGTGAAAGTTTTTTTTTTTTCTAGGATGATATGACTTTTATTTTTCACATAATTCCTTTTATGAATCAAAAAGTTATACCGCTGTGCTTGTTGGAGTTCTTCCTCAGATTAGATTATTACCATAATTGACAGTTTTTTTTGAAATATTTTCATTCTTAAGAAAGGTTGATATGTGCAATGCTTCTTCCTCTTCTTAAAGCTGCCAATTATGAAATACTCATACAAATTTTTTTGATAATTTCTTCATATTTAGCTTGATTCTGGCATTTCTATGGTTGCTTTCAGTGTATAGATTTATGTTCTCTGTAATCTCAAATCATTTTGTTTAAAATTTAATTTACATGAAAATTTTTATGTTTGTTTTTTTCTATTTAATCAGTATATTTTGGAGTTGCATTTTCTGTTGTTATTTTCTCGTTTTGTGGAAGCATCTATTACACAGAATTTGAACTTCCACAAATTGAGAATCTATGCAGTGGTATGAAGTTTTGATTTAAACAAAACAAGTACTATCCTATTCTATAATGCAGATTGTTTTGTGCTTTGATCTTTGATCATTATATCTGGGTGTCTCCAACATGTATGTCTTTTTTGCTGCTTTGTTTTTTGTGTTAGATTGTCATTTTTTGGATGTTTCTAGCAAAACATGTCTTCTTTTGACTTGATCAGCTTGACTTCGGGTTTGTTTGTATGAGATCATGCCTTACGGCATTGTTTTTCCACTTAACCTTTGTGTTCCAGTCTCTTATCTGAAGATTCTGTGTTTGCCTCTCACTTGGATCACATAAGATGATTTTTATAAGTACTATGATACTATAGATGGCATAATTTTCAGGAAAGGATATTATTGGATTGGCGCAAACCGGGTCCGGAAAGACTGGAGCTTTTGCAATCCCCATTCTCCAAGCACTATTGGAGAATCCCCAGGCTTTCTTTGCTTGCATTCTTTCTCCTACGAGGTGGGTTCCACTTATTTGAATGTTTTCATATAATTTATTATCTAACATTTTCTATTGTTTTATTGATTGGGTTAATGTTGGTTTCTATTGGTGGAATGACTTCTACCAATCCAGGGAGTTGGCCATTCAAATATCTGAACAGTTTGACGCTTTGGGATCTGGAATAGGCGTCAAATGTGCAGTGGTAGGTTATGCTGCAATTGTTGTATTTACTCTAATGTTCTATTTCCTTTGTGTATGTCTCAGTGTTTTGAAACCCGGTTCAGTGGGATAGATCATTCATCCACAGATCCGTATCGGATTGGTGATTGGGATTGAGTCTGGATTGGTCCAAATCAGTCGTCATCATCATAATCCAAGCCTTATCTCAATGATTTGGGGTCGGCTACCTGGATCCTGTTCTTTCATTATTCTCCATCAATTGCCACATCTTTTCCCACTACTTCTATTCATGTCCTTTTGGGCTTTCCCCTTGCCCTTTTATATCCTTCTGCTTGAACCAAGTCGCACCTCCTAACCAGCATTGTATTAGGTTTATGTTTCACATGCCCTTTTAGAACCTTCCACTTGAACTAATTGGACCTCCTAACAGGTGTGTATTAGGTGTATGCTATACATGGTCAGTTCACCTAAGTTTACTTTCCCTCATCTTATTGTTTATTGAAGCCACACCTAAGTTTTCTCGTATAAAATTTTATCTTTCTTTTCTTGCCACTCATCCATCTTGACATCTTCATCTCAGCTACACTCATCCTATGGACATATTTTTTCTTGGCCGCCCAACATTCTGTCCCATAAAGCATGACTGGTCTTAACATCCGTCCTATAGAACTTCCCCTTCAATCGCAATGGTATGCGGCGATTACATAAAACTCTGGATGCACATCTCCACTTTGCCCACTCAGCTCTAATTCGATGTGCGACATCTTCCTCAATCTCTCCATTCTCTTGGATTATCGACCTTAAGTATTTCTTGACCATTTACATTCTATATATTATGTCTTAGTCTAGCTATTTTATAAACTTTAGATTCTAGAGCATCCTTCCAATATTTTGACTTTGCGTTGACACCGCTTTTTGTCTCATCAATCAAAACTATGTGATTCGTGAATAACATACACCACCATACCTCATCTTGTAGGTGTCTAATTAACTCATCGATAACCAAAACAAAGAGATATGGGCTCAGCGCTGACCCTTGTTGTAGGCCCATTGTCATTGGGAACTAACTTGCCATCGGTCCGAATCGGTAATCTAGAAAAATATTAAATAATAAATGTAATAAAATCAAAATTAAAATAGGGATTTATAGGGTGGGGATTTAGAGGGGACCTAAGAAAACATTAGATAAGCATAAAAAAATGAAGAAAAATAAAATATTGGGGATTTTTAGGGGGGAGCCGGCCGGGCCCCATACCATCCAAGATTCAGTTCGATCTTGATTGATTCCCATCCAAATTGGTTATTTGGATCGAATATTTCCGGGTTTTGAAACATTGTTATGTATACATGCATTGCTACAAATATATTGATGAATAATTGAAGTTTGCAAACATATACATGACACAGATATGTGCATTACTGTGCCTAAGTGTGTGTATACAGATTACTGTGCTGAAGTTTGTGTATACATGTCTGCATGTACTTGTGTCAATATAGATTCTGTGTATTTAGACATGTATACCCTAGATTCTGTGTTCTGTGTATTGAGAGATGCATACACGTGTAATTCACACAAACACACTAATATGCGCACTTGTATTTGTATGCTTACATATATACATCTAAAACTCTGACAAATCCAAAACTACTCTCAACCTTACGCATGTACACACTTGTTTTTGTTTATGTGGATGTATTGGTTCTTGGAAATGCTTGTGTTCATGAGGTTGTGGAAGGAAATTCAACTGAGGCATTAACCTCTGTTTTTATTTAGAAATGGATATGGCCCAAGACATTTTGGTGCCTATACATCTATTCCTAGGCTTGCTTGTGCATGAAGAATATGAATGCTCAATAAAAGCAAGACATGAGGAATAGTTGCAACCTGACTTGAATTCCTCAAAAATTGAAAGGACACAAATCTATTTTAAATCTTTACAAATTTGTGGGCTACAACGATCTTTAACACAATTCCACACCCATATTACTGTCGAGATATAGTTGTTAGTTGTTACATTGGGCCAGTAATGGTGCTATCTCGTATTCTCTCAACGGTGTTCTTTTGGACTCCTCTATTTGCATTATCAAATATGTTCCTACAATTCTATGACGTGCTTTCATGTACTCAAATTTGACTAATCGGGTGAGTTGACTCGGACTTGCCTATGTAACTTGGGCTCGGCATGGTGCCTCTCCCGTCTCCCCCCAAACTTGGGGGTATATAGAAGTTGATTAAAAACGATTATTATATATTTCTATTGATCTAGCATTTGAATAAATCAATTATAATTGACTTATAATTAGTTTTATTTTTTAGCAATTTTCAGTTTTCCTATAAGGTTTTATTTTTTCTCTCTTTCCTTTCTTGGCATGAACTCAGGCAAGTTGACTGGTACTCGCCTGACTAACTTGGCCAGGACGGTGGCCAACTTGCATCTGAGCCGAGTTCTAAAACCTTGCATGTACTTCATCTTACCTACTAATTATTAATAGGTTTTCCAATGATCAATCGATGACATTTTTGGAAGTGTGTGCTTGAACGAAGCTCAACAGTCACAAGCAATATTGGTTGATTGCTGTAAAGCAGTTATGACATGAAACTTGAATAGGGCTTCAACTTAATCATATGTTTTGGCTTTTGGGTTCCATTTGCCTTCCTAACTATCAAATGTTTTGTGAGATATATTATTTAAATAATTCTATTTGCCGTATGCTAGATTACATTGCAGACAAAAAATCTTAGATGAACAGTGGCTGGAATGTGACTCCTTGATTGTTTTTTATGAAAAAGTGACTTTTTGTATTAAATAAGAGGTAAACGTTATACACTTCCTGACTGGAAGCCTGTATACAAAATTGTGGTATACAAGTGTTATCTAAAAAAGATTGCAAAGAGAAAGACAATTTTTTAGGGCCTTATATTATGAGATTGGTTGAAGGGGCTCCATGTTTTGCAATGGAATCAGCGGCCGAGTTTGCGGGACTTATATTATGAGGTTGGTTGAAGAGGCTTCATGTTTTGCAAGGGAATATCAGTGGCCGAGTTTGCTTCTCTCCATATGTGTCTAGAATATACTTTGGATGGGGCATGACACTTTGAAGATTTATTTAAAGATGGGTTGAAGTATCCATGGGCAGAGGGCTGTTTTTGTTGATCAATTCGTGATTTACCACATTCATTGAATCCCCCCTTAATCAACAGAGGCCTGGGACTCGGCGAGGGTAGAGTTGGTGTATCCTGACTCCTGATTGGGCCTGAATAAGCATGAACTGTATCAGCAGAGCATTATCTGAAATTGCTGTAAATGCCGGCCATGCCTGGGTTTTCAAGAGAACAGCAATGAAAGCTAAGTTTGATGGCTATAAGTTGGGATCCAAAGTGAAGATTTGGATATGGTCATCTGTTTGGATCAAAGCAGATGTTTCAGTGCTGCTTGTACTCCACTGACAATACATGGAACACTTTGTGGTTTCGCTCAAAAGTTAAACTGTGGCTGTCACTCAATCTATGATCGCATTTGTGTGGGAATTTTTGCTTTTCAAACTCTTTTTGTTTTGCTCTCACCAGATTGTCCAGGTGATCGCCTAGAAGCCTGCCAGTTTGGGTGTTGCCCAAAATCAGCCAAAGAGGTTTAACATGAAGTGCCAAGCATATGCCACTTTGCAATGAACAAAAGGAAGGTTGATGGATTCCTTGTTGTCCTTACACATGGCACACCTATTGGATGATAGATTCCTCTACAGGGCAATTTATAGGTTGTGATAATTTTTTAGGAGATAATGAATCAGATAGGTGTCTGGAGCTTCAATGGTAGTGCAGTGTTCCAAAAAGCGGACCGCCCAGCACCTAGGCGGTCCAGAAGGCCTGGGCGCATCGCCTAGGCCTAGGCGGTCAAACTGGGCGGTATGGAACCCACCTAGGCAGGTGGCCAGTGCCCAGCCCTGGGCGGGCCTGTGCCCCACTTAGGGGCGAAACATATATTTTTTTGTTCTATTGCTTTTTTTTGAAACATAAAGCCTTTTAAGCATGGGTTTTAGGTTCTTTTGAAACCTAAACCCTCAAGAACTCATTTTAGAGAGAAAGAAACTTCAAAGAAACTAAAATTTGTGATTTTTATTGGATCGAAGTGCTTTTCAAAGTTACGAAAAACGGATCCAAATATCACCCAGGTGGATTAGATTTAGTTTTGGAGTTTTATAATCCTATTATAGACTGTTTTTTATTATTTTAGTACCTGAAAACATCTCAGAGGTTTACCCTATTCCTTTTGATGATGATGATTTAGTTTTGGAGGTGTGTTATATTGAAAAGGGAGATGACTCTGATGATGATGGCCGCGAAGCTGATGCATATGATGAGGCTTACCCTAGTCCTTCTGATGATGATGATGATGACTGAAGACTGTTGGTGTTGACTGTTGACTGTTGACTATTGTATCCTAGACTATATATTTTTTGAATTTTTTTATATATATATTTTTCTTATTTTTAGTTTCTACTTTCTAGTTTTTAATTCTACTATAACTTTTGTGTGTACAGTCTACAGTGTATTAGACTATCAGTGTATGCTTGTATGGTTTTACTGTTTTATCATTGTATGAAAATATGAATTATGGTCTTATGGATTATCAAAATTCTCTTCTCGACTTCTATCTTCTTTTTTTTCAATTGGGATTATGGTCTTATGGATTATTAAAATTCTTATGGATTATGGTCTTCTGGATTATCACAATTCTTATGGATTATCAGAATCAGACTATCTTTTTTTCTTTTTTTTTCTTTCAATTGGGCCGCCCAGGTTCTGGGCGCCTACCTAGGCACTGGGCGGCCTGGACCCCCATGGCCACCTGAGTGCCGCCTAGCGCTTTTTGAAACTATGGGCTAGTGTGAACCAAGCTCTTATAGCAATTGACATGGTCAGGTCATTAAGGGTAAGGGCCAAGTAGGAGACTGAAAACACATCTGTGGATGGAGGGTATCGAAACTAATTTGTCTCTTCCATGTCGAGGAATACCGTGCTGTTCTAGCTGCTATAGTAATTACACAAGATTCAAGATCTCTTCATTGAGAGGTTTCTGCTAAACTTCAGTGACCATTCAGTTTGACCATTCAACAATACGTAGGATAGGGAGATGTGTACATCTTGATCTAGGGCTATGAGGTATAGGTTTGGGAATTCTTCTTGTAATGGTCTTTCACCCAACCAAGATATCTTTCAAAAACCTGATGTGGAAATGTATATTATTTTGCCAAAAGACTTTGTGCCTCTGCAGGAGCATGCTGTCGTTTTACTCTCTTGGGTAAAATCCAAGTTAGGAGTATTTTTAGGACCCAACTTTTGGGAGTGTAACCTCTTCAACCTTGTAACTAACCTCAAAAAAAAGAAAAAAAAGAAAAAAGGCAGAACAAAACAAAAAAATAAAAAATAAATAAAATCATGCAGTCACACTATGTATGTGCCTAAAAGAGTAATGTCAATAACATTCCAAGATTGAACTGAGACATCCAATTATTGGGGGGTGAGATGTAAGTGTTGAAGAACTTTTTTTTTGGGTAAATAAAGTGGTAAGTCAGTGGGGATTTGGGCCCCTACCCTTTGGTGAGAATGGAGTCAGAGACCTCACCATCTCACCATGGGCTCAGCAATACTAAGTGTTGAAGAACTCAAAAATTTATTTTTTTCCTTTTTTCTTTTTAAATATAATCATCTGGAGATTCTTAGGTGGATCCAAAAATTTCTGATCGAAAAAGTTTTCCCATGTAGTTTTTCTGCCCGAGGGACTAAGTGTAAGTGGATAGTGTTCTCCCGTGGTCGCATAATATCCATGCTATATTCTTCTGTACATTCTAATTTGGAAATATGTGCATGCCCCTATGTTAGCATCTATCTGCATGAATACTGTTTCATGATGACAGTTATAATTTAATTGTCAGCTATTACAAGCTATTACATTTTGTTTTGATAGTACTGATATGTTGTTTGTTGAATGTGTGATAATATTATCACATACCTATTATTCTTCCTGATATATACCTAGATACCCATTGATCATTACTCTACTCATTCAATGAGCATTACAAGTTAACTACCATTCTATCAAAAATAAAGTTTCTGCCAAACATACACGAAGTAATCAACTTCGGTGTATGATTTAAGTGGTAAAAAACTCTGAAGTCATGGATACCTGTGCTGCTGTTGTAAATATTTGGAGTTCCTCTCAATTTAGTGATTCTCAATGCTTAATTAGCATCTCAGCATAAAAGATTGTGAAATATTGACAATTGAATGGTTTTGCAGGTTGTAGGAGGCATAAACATGATGGATCAAGCAATTGCCCTGGCAAAACGGCCTCATGTTGTGGTAATTTCATTTTTTTTTTGATAAAAAAAATCTTTTAATACATTTGAAATTTTGAACAGATCATGGATGCTATCATTCCTGAGACGATAGAATCTGCATTTATTACTAGAATCATCGTAAATGTGAACAAGAGAAGCATTTAGGAAGAAAAGACACTTAATACAATGTCAGAAATTAACAGATCGTGGATGATACGAAACTTAAGATTGGGGATGCAATGGTCTCTGCGTTCTTTTTCCGCGTTAATAAGTCATTAGGGAATGATTTAAAAAAAAGGTCATTAGGGCATGGAACTAGGATATTGCAATATTAAGCTTTGGCATCCATATAAAAACTACATATTCGAACATATCGGTCCTTGTTGGTGGACTGTCCTATAATTTAGTATTTTAGTATTATCTTTTAGATTATTGCTGCGGTGTTATTGTGAATTGCCTGTGGAATCTACTGTGTGCTGAGTTTAGTGCTGTAAATTAGCTCTTTATGTTTATCATCTGGGAGTCTTTGATCTATATGCTAGGTTAATAATTTGATTGCGTATTGCGAGCAGACTTCCATCTATTTATATGATACTTTTTTGACCTTTCATCTTTTCTTTAGGATGTAATTTCTGTACTAATGTTTTATATAATCATGAGTAGTATTCAACTTGCCTATTGGATGAACAATGCATTATGTTTTTGTTGTCATAAATATGAGATATTATTTATTTCATGTTTCTTCTACGCAGGTGGGAACTCCTGGGCGATTGTTGGACCATTTAACCAATACAAAGGGTTTTAGCCTTCGCACACTAAAATACTTGGTATATGAATTGATCACTAAGCATGCATTCCTTTCTCAGATGTGGCTTCCTGTTTTGTAGTAGTTGTACGACTCTAATCACTTTACTTTTCAATTATGGCAAAGTTGATATATGCTAGGCCTTTGAAATTTAAATTTTTAATGTTGTATATTTATAAAGTAAATAGGTATCATTGCCTATGGTAATGGAATATAGTAGTGTTCTAGAATCGCACTGGTCAACTCTGACGAAGGTGAGTCACTTGGCCTTGGCAGCCTACTGAGGCTGGAACAGGGAACCGTACTCAGGCGATTACTGCAGTAACTCTCACAAGTACTGTACAATACATGATAGAGAAATTATAAATTAGCCGAAATTTTGAGGCCGATCTCCCTATCTTCATGCTCAGTGAAAGTTAATGCCTCGAAGTCTTGAGAAATCTTCTTTACACAACACAAGTCAAAACCCCCAGGGGTGAACTTTTTCACTTCTTCTCTAACTTTTAGCCTTAAGAGTCCCCCATTTCATCCTAATTCAAGCCCTGGTTAGATTTTTTATTGATCTATGCATTAGAAGCAATGGATTTGAGAGATAAACACCGGATTTCAAAGATTTGTTGCGGGCCAGGGTTTGGCTGAATTCCAAAAATTTGTAGTTTCTTCGTAAATTTGATCGATCCTTGAAGAGCTTTGAATCCCAGCCTATTTTTAGGTTTTTTGACCTAAACCTAGGCGAGCTTTGAATCCCAACCCTATTTTTAGGTTTTTGACCTAAACCTAGACCTTTTTGTCCTTCAAAAAAGACACAAATCTTTGATTTTGATAGATTTAAAATTCGGATTTACTCACCCACAATTTCGAGGAGATCCTAACTTGAAGCCCAAAACTGGTTGGGAGGTTTTGAGTGGTGTAAAGAGGATTTCTTAAGGATCAGAGGCATTGACTCGCACTGAGCATGAAGATTGGGAGATCGGCCTCAAATTTTTTGGCTAAATCATTCTTTTATATTAAATTCATATATTTGATTTTTTACTAGATCAATGATAATTGATTTGTATAGTTTTGGATTTTTTCTGATTGTTTTTCAAGCCAATAACATCATTTTATTTTTAAATTCTGTGGTTTATATACTTGTAAAATTTTGTATTTGTTTAGATTTCTGTTTTTCTATATTCTGGGATCTGTTTTTGGTCTTTTGTCCTATTTGCTAGGGGCTTTTTTGCAGTTGTCATTCACTTGGGCATGATATGGCTGAGTCCAAGTAGAATCATTAATTCAGCTCAGGTAGGGGCTGAGTACTTTACTCGAGCTGGGTTTTTGAAATATACACATTTATTTTATGTATATTGTATTTAATAATTTTAAAACAATCGTTTTTGTCCATGGACTCAGCCCCTGCCTGAACTTAGGTAAAAGCTCATCATGGTATAAAGAAGCCAACATCAATAATTATGTTCATTTTCTTATGCTATAATGCTCGGATGCTCATGTTATCAATCAGAACATTCATCAAATTCATGGTT